CCCCCCCACAAAAAACATACATGACCCTTACCTTGTCCACCAGTTGCAAATCTCGATCCATCAGGATGAATATCAATAGAAAATATAGGTGAATCTGTAATGCCAAACAATAATGAGAAATACATTATTCTCCAAATCCAGGTGTAAGGTACCTACTTCCAAATGAATAGCCGCAAGAATATGCAAAACAATACAATCCAATGTTTAGTGAGATTTTCTTTGTTAAAAATGTAAAATAGTGGTACCACTAATCCAACAGTCAATGACCTCATAATGACTGCAAGGGAACCCTGTCCTTCCCTTCCACAGGGAGACGGAAGAAATATGCGTACACAGGCTTGGGCAAAGTTCAATTTAAAATCTGAGTAGTTACATGTTAGTTCTATTGTAATTTAAGACTGTCAAGTTTCAGAAGTCAAAACTTGTGGTAATACAGACACCAGAGGTTCAAAATAAAGTGTTCACTGAACACAACTGTTATTTTAAAATACCAAGCACATTCAACAAGTACTAATGATAATTGAACGGCATAAAAATTAGTCAGTGGGGTTCTGAGTGTCTTGTAATAGGAAGTGTAACAGAATGTGTACGTGATCATATGTTTACAACCCTTATAACCTCACACCACAAACGCCGACAATAAATGAATGAAACATGATATCACAATGTAGGGAAAGGGTCACAAGTACTTGCCATTTTCATGAGTGACCCACTTGGGTTTTAATAGCTTCATAGCGATAAGGAATATTTCATTAAATATTGTTCATTAGTGGAGAGAGTGGAATTGTACAAATTTTACAAATTTAAGTTACGAACGGACTTGAACAAGTCTACGCGCCCGCCCAGATCCACCGCCGCCCAAAGCAAAGCAAATCGGAGAACTTGAGGAGTACGCTGGCCGTAGGCAAAATTACGTTTCCGTTGCCACTTGCAGCAAGAACAACAACACAACAAAGAACATTCGGGCACAAACAACAACAACAACAATCCTTCGACGATTTGTGATCGTTGGGGTGAAATCTCAAATAGTTCAATTTATCCATCGCAATCCGTGCAATAGAATCGCCGAAGAGGATTACATTTGTGCTAGTTATTCTCTTTGAAGTCCAAGATGTCGATCGGAGTGCCTATCAAAGTCTTACACGAAGCAGAAGGCCACATTATAACTTGTGAAGCCAACACCGGTGAAGTTTACCGGGGCAAGCTTATAGAAGCTGAAGATAATATGAACTGTCAAATGACTGGAGTAATGGTTACGTATCGTGATGGAAGAGTAGCCCAACTCGAAAATGTATATATTCGGGGTTCTAAAATTAGGTTTCTCATTCTACCTGATATGCTGAAAAACGCCCCAATGTTCAAACGACAAGGCAAGTCCGGCGGCGCTGGCGGTGCCGGTAGAGGAAAATCTGCAATTCTGCGCGCTCAAGGTTTGTGTTTTCCTTCTCTTTTGTTAATAAATAGTTAAGTTATTGTAATGCGTTAGTTTTCTGAAAACATTGTATGAAGCTTTTTGCGGTTTGTAGAACTTGTTTTCATAAAGCAATTTACCTAACCTCAACATCTCAAATCCCGCCACTACTGGTTAAAGAATTACGTTCTGTAATTTTGTTAAAAAAAAAAAAAGTTAACAACAATACATGCTTAGTCACCGATCGAGTTGTTTTATTGTCTTTCTCAATGCTGTGTTGATACTGTCATTCTTGCTTTGAGACTCAATTTATTCTATACTTAAGCCAAATATCTACTTCATTTAGACCAAGGTGATTTATACTTGCCGAAAGATCTATCACTGGAAAAATATACTCTCATTTCGAAGTCAGAATTCAGTCAATGATATCCCACTCAACTTTCACATTTAGAAGCCAGAATATAGACGATACCCACCTTTCATATCTTTTCTTGTATTAACTTGTTTGGTTTGTTGTTTCAGCTGCCAGAGGCAGAGGCAGAGGCTCCAGAGGTGGACCAGGAGGACGGGATGGTGGCTGGAGAAGTGGAGGCCCTGGAGGTTCAGGTTCCAGCCGAGGTGGGCGATCTGGTGGTGATCGCCCCTAAACAAAATTTAACTACTATTTGACTGTAATGTATATAATACAATCAACTGAAATCATTTGAGTTTGTATGACTTCTTTTGATGACAAGCCAGCTAAGCTAGATGGGGCAGCCAACTGAGTTAATTAATTGAAAAAGTTTTATTTTGTGGCTTGTAAGAATGATTTTTTTTTATCATGTTCAAACTGCTACTTTCATTCCAAGAGGTTTTAGTTCCCAATAATTTATTCTCTGATTCCTCATTTCATCACATTCATTATCCACTATTCAACCTGGTTTCAACCTTCTAAATAAACATCTGAACAATTCAGTACTGTTGTTTTATTTGCTGTATACTCTTGTTCTTCATCATTAAATATAACAAAAGGGAAGCAGTGGTAGTCCTTGAATACATGTTTTCAATTAAATGTTCCTGCTAAATCATGGCCAGTAGAATAAGGTCATGAAAATTTTCAGCCTTTTTCACTGTGTGACAAACAGACAAACTTTTATTTTAGAGGGGGCATTTTTTCAAGAGAGGTGGGAATAACTGTCTACACAACTGAGGGGTTTCATCAGTTATGGAGAGTTGTCTGTTGTATGCCTCGTCTTCCTCTTGGTATCTCCTTTCTTGCTCTGCCATCTCTTTTGCCCATTTTTCATATTTTTCACGGTTGATGATTCCATGCTTCTTACGGTATTCCTGTAAGATTTACAGCAAATTAAATTCAGCTTCACTCATAATCTAAAATTCTAAATTGAGCAATCTTACATGTATTGTTTTTTTAATAGGATACAATGGACGGCCCCCTATTTTGCATTCATTTAACACCTCTTCAGCATAGTCAAAGAAATCTTCATCTTCTCTTTTAATCTGACCAAGCAGCGCTTCATGTCTTTGTCGATTGTCTGCACATTGCTTGTTCTTGATTTCCCTGTGCTCCTCCTGTATCCAGAGAGAAGAAAATTATTTTTTTTTTCTAGGAGACAGATCATATATTTTAATTTTCTTGGAAGAACTAATCAAGGGAACAGGACGCATACTATTTGTTTGTTGTAGCCTTCTCGCACAACCATCTTTGTTGCCCATTCTGACTCTTTTCTCTTCATTTCATGTAGTTTATCAATTTCATCTCTTCTCAACCCTTGCATTAATATCCATTGTTTCAACTCTTTTTCCTCTTTCTCATCCTTCATCTTTTGTTCCTTGACTTGTGCATTGTACTCTTGCCTTTCTTTCAGTAGTTTTGCTTCATAATTCTTCCGTTTTTGAAGGATCTTTGCCTCTCTAACATTTTTACAGAGACTTAGTGTCACATTCAATATTGCTTTAAAATTTAAAAATAACTTTTACCAGTTACTTACCTTTCATCTTTCTCTTTTAGTGCTTTGGCAATCATTCCCTCAATGTCGTCTTCCTTTTCCTTGAGACTCTCTGCAATAATGGCACGAATTCTCTCTTGGTGCTCAAGTTTAGCTTGTTTTGCCTGTGAAAAGCAAAGTCAGAAAATTTCAGTCTTTACTGTTTTAAATTTTACAAAAGCATTATGAAATCTGTAGTACCTCTGCTTCACGTTTCTTGCGCATGCACTCCATCCTCTGCTTTATTTTTAAGTAAATTTGAATTACTTTTTCTTCATCCTCCTCCTCCTGTTTTTGTATTCTCTTTCTTTCTTTGCTCATCTCAATACTTTCAAGAGCATTTTTCTTAACCAATTCCTTTTTCCTGCTAATCTGTTACATAAATATTTAGAGTGTGACATGGCATGAATTTAGACAGGCTGGGGTTGTTTGATTATTTGTCAAATCTACCTCTCTCTCTATGTTTTCCTGAACTTGCTTAATTTCTTTTTCCATTTCTGCTATGTCTTGTTGTTCATAAGCTTTTTCTCCTGCCAAAAGAAGGGCCTCCCTCTCAGCTTTTTCTTTCATCCTGAAACATTTTGGTGCACATAAGCAACCTTATTTTTACTTAGGTTATGACTAAATGATTGGCAACTGATAGCATTTCTGATTTAGATGTAAATTCAAAACTACATTCATTAGTCCTCACATTTTTATATTTTCCGCTTTCCTTTCCATTTTCTCCACATGTTGTCTCTCTTTTCTTTTTAACTCTTCTTCATGATAGGCTTCAACGTCACATTTTATTTGTTCTGCCTTTGCCTTTTTAGCATCCTCTTCAATTTTTTTGAGGTGCTCGTTGAATTCAATTTGCTTAGACCGTTCATGCAAAATCTACCCTGCGCAAGATTTAATTGATCAAATCTTATGGAACACAACACGTTTCCTACTCATTAAATTCCTGTTTACTAACTGCAGGTGTGTGTGGAAGGTAAATCAATTGCCCTATTGCTTGGAATTAGCTTAGAGAGTTAAGCCCAGCTTTTTTTAAAAAAAAGTTCAAGACACTTGCCTCAGAAAATACAAATGAACTGTTTACTTGATGGATATCGTCTTTCTCAAATAAGAGCATCCTCTTGGCTTCCTCTATCCTTTTTCTCCTCTCCTCGGCTGCTTCTTGCAGTGATGCTTGATGAATGGCGTTTTTACGGTCATCTTCGTCTTTTATACGCTTATGACGCCGTTCCAATCGCTCCTTTTGTTTGTTCTTCACCAATCAAAGAAAAAGAAAATATGGTGCTATTAATAATAATAAAAATCATGAAACCTAAATACCTGTCGACTGCCATGCCCCAGAACCAGCGCGAACCATTCGCACATTGTCTCCACTGTGACAATTTCCTTCTCAAATTCACGACATTTTTTTGTATTTTCGATTTACAAAATATGTTGTAAATTTTTGAAAGATCACTCTTGCTCAGCAAAGAATTTTTAGTCGATACAAAGTGCTTGGTATATTACAATTTCAAATTGTAGTTTTACACCACGCACCACGGAAATTTTTCCTGGAACCCTTGCAAGTTTTTCTCACCTTTTCACTTGGACAAAAATAAAACAAAGAAACACAAGGGAACGCCCAGGCAACCGCGGCCTTACCAGGACCGTGTTCCTCCAGTTCTTGACGAGGCCCTCGGAGGCGTCCTTCATGCGCTGCATCTGGGCGTGCCGGAGCTGTCCGTCGCGGGCCTGGTCCGAGAGCCATCGCGAGTGCGCCTTGATCCTGTCGAGCTCCTGGCGGGGCAGCACGATGGCCTTGACGGTGCGGCCGCGGCCCTGGCCGGCACTGCCGGCACCCTGGCCGGGGTCGGCCTGCACCGCGAGGGACACGTGCCGCACCCGGGGGACGACGCTCATCCTGGCCGGGATCCTGGGGGTCCTGGGGCGCTGGGATGCCTCCACTCGCGCGGCCGCCCGCCCGGTCGCCTAGCAACCCGCGACGCCCGCGGCTCGGCGTCGCAAGCGGGCAAGCGTCGCCATCAGTTCCGTTTGATCGTTAACTGAAGAGTGTGCTGGATAGTGTAAGAGCGCGGGAGGCGAACGGGGAAGCCCCAAAGTCCTTTCCGCTCGTGCGCCGGCGGGTAGGCAGCACAACTTGCAGCTGCGCGTTGGGTGGCCTACCTCCCGGGCGCCTGCCCACTCGGCGAGGAGGGCTGCCCGGTAGGGATAGCCCCCCCCCCTCCCCCCTCTACGGTCTTCCTTCCCCTCTTTTAGACTTTAGATCTGTTTTCCCGAGTTGCGGATGTTATGGTGGCAGGATAGTGACGGCTATGTTAATGTTGTTCATTATCTAAGTTGCGCGCTGGCGACTACGACCGATCGACGAGGGGAGGGTGGTGGCCTTGGTTTGACCGGCTCGCGGAAACAACAAAAATTCAGGGTGAACCGCACGCGGTGAATTCGCACGCATTGCCAAATTGGCGCCAGATCGGAAAATAAAGCAAATGTCAGGTGCCGACGGCGGCGGCGCGGCGGCAGCCCGCCGGGGCGGCCGAAGCAATGTGTCTCCGGAGCCAAGGTAAAACCTCTATTTGCGATGAAAAAAAAACTGTTGGAAAAAACTCCACTAGATGGATGCCGCTGGGAGTGAAAGTGAACGTCTCTTTAATTTCCTTGGATGAGAAAATGATGGTCCTGTGTATGTCTGTGAGCGCGAGAAGCTTGGGGTCAGGTGGCGTGTTAAATCGCTGACGAGAAAATTCCTAAGCGGCTCCCATTTGCCTTACGTGTATTTCGGTGGACTGGCTGGCCCGGCGGGAGGGCGGTCCGCGTCACGCAACGGATTCCGATTGGGATTAATTGATAGTTTTCGTACAGGGAAGTGATTCGATCGGCCGGCCTTTTGGGTGATGTCACGACGAGTACCGGCCGGCGGGTACCTTACGAAACGGAAGGTCGGCCAACCTTTGACCTCGGCCTGCAACGCGATGACCACGCGGGTAATTTGGCAGTTTTGGTAAGGTGGGGCCCTTGCTGGCCCTTTAAATGTAGATGCAAGAATTTTATATTTTTTCCCACCTATACTAAACTTTCAAAATTTTCAACTTGGCCAGAAAAGAAGTTCTAATAATTTTAGCAAATTGCTAATTTATGAAAGTTTACATATCTACTGTGGGGTACCTACTGTGCGTAGGTACCCTTTTAATGAAGTCAGAGGCATGTCTACTTTCTTAAATGTGGACAGTGTACTGAACCAACTGAACGCATTTGAGTTCGACAGAGTACGAGGAAAGATGTCCTCGTCCGCTAACTATGTTTACTTCCAATTAAGCCAACGCTCAGCGCCAGCGCCCCATGACTACGACGACCTTCCTTTGGCGTCTTCTGTCATTCCAAAGGAGAGTGTAGGCCTTATCTGACGGACGTGATTTTAAGCCGACCGAAACTGAAGCAAGCTCGTGTGTGTCTCGCTCTCCCCTTTCAGACGCACTTTAAATTCTCAGATGCTGTATTTTGCCCCCCCTCCCCCCCCCCAAAAAAAAAGTTGCTGGCGGTCGTTTCTCATCTTTTTTCATTGCACCCCCCTCCTCCCGTGGTACTGCCGCTGCCGCCCCTACGCATTTATCATCAAACGTAGTACGCCTAGGCTATGTGCACCCGCGCCAACCAGGAACAAGAGCGGTAACAACGTCCTGTAACCGGCGACACAGCGCAGCAGGCGCCCCCCCTCCCCCTTTTC